CCCCCCCCCCACAGAGTAAGTCCTAGACTGCCTCACAAGACTGAAATCGTACTATGGGGCTGGATGGCATGCATGCTCTGAAGGAGCTGGCTAAGGTAGATGCTGAGCCTCTCTCCATCATATTTGAAAAATTGTGGCTGTCAGGTGAGATCCCATATGACTGGAAAAAGGGTCACATCATCACTCATACGTAAAAGAAAGGGAGGAAGGAGGACCCTGGGGAACTACAGTCCAGTGAGCCTCACCGCTGTGCCTGGGATGATCATGGATCAGATCCTCCTGGATGACATGCTATATTGCATGAAGAATGAGCATGTGATCTGAGACAGCCAGCATGGCTTCACCAGGAGAAGGTCATGCCTAAGCAATCTGGTGGCCTTCTATGATGGGGTGATGGTAGTGGTGGACAAAGGTAAGGCAACCAATGTTACTTACCTGGCCTTTGACATGGTTCCCCATCACATCCTTATCTCCAAATTGGAGAGATGTGGATTTGATAGGTGGAAAAGGTTGGAAGGCTGCAGACAAAGGGTGGTGATCGATGGTTTAATGTCCAGGTGGAAGCTGGTAGCAAGCGATGTCCCCCAGGGGACTGTCTTGGGACCAGTGTTCTTTGACTTCTTTGTCAATGACATTGATGATGGAATTGAGTGCACCCTCAACAAGATGACACCAAGCTGAGTGGTGCAGTTGACACAATGGAAGGAAGGGATGCCATTTAAAGGGACCTCATCAGACTCGAAAGGTGGGCCTGGGTGAATCTAATGAGGTTCAAGACAGCAAAGTACAAGGTTTTGTGCTTGGACCAGAGGAATTGTGGGCATATATACAAACTGGGAGGAGAAATCCTTGAGAGTAGCCCTGCAGAGAAGGACCTGGGAGGTTCTGGTAGATGAAAAACTGAACATGAGTCAGCAGTGTGCTCTTGCAGGTTGGAAAGCAAATGGTATCCTGGGCTCCATCAGAAGAGGGGAGGGAGATGATTGTCCCTCTCTACTCTGCCCTTTGTGAGGCCCCATCTGGAGTACTGTGTCCAGGTCTGGGGGCCCCAGTACGAGAAGGACAGAGAGCTGTTAGAGATGGTCCAGAGGACGGCCATAAAGATGGCCTGAGGGCTGGAGCACCTCCCCTACGAAGACAGGCTGAGGGAGCTGGGCTTGTTGAGCCTGGAGAAGAGTAGGCTGCAGGGTGACCTCCTTGCAGCCTCCCAGTGCCTTAAGGGAGCCTACAGGAGGGGAGTCAACTCTTTACAAGGGTAGATGATGGCAGGACAAGGGGAAATGGTTATAAGTTGAAGGAGGGAAGATTTAGGTTGGCTATCAGGGGGAAGTTCTTTGCCAAGAAAGTGGTGAGGAGCTGTAACCAGAGAGCTGTGTATGTTCTGTCCCTGGAGGTGTTCAAAGCCAGGCTGGATGGTGTCCTAGGCAGCCTGGTCTAGTATTAGATATGGAGGCTGACGGCCCTGCCTGAGGTGGGGGGTGTTGGAGCTTGGTGATTCTTGAGGTGATTTCAACCCAAGCCATTCTATTATTCTGTGATGATTCTAAGACCTACCCAGCACTTCCTACTGCATTACCAGCAGGAGCAGGGAAGTGACCATCCCTCTATACTGAGCTCTAGTGACACTGCACCTGGGGTACTGTGCTCTGTTTTGGGCTCCTCACTGCAAGAACGACATCAAGGCCCTGGAGCATGTCCAGAGAAGGGCAATGAAGCTAGTGAGGTGTCTGGAGCAGAAGTCTTATGAGGAGTGGCTCAGGAAGCTGGGATTGTTTAGCCTAGAGGAGGCTCAGGGGAGACCTTACTGAGCTCTGCACCTACCTGAATGGAGATTGTGCTGAAGTGGGGATTGGACTCTTCACCCATGTCACTAGCAGAATGACTAGAGGGAATGGCCTCAAGCTGCACAAGGGAGATTCAGGTTGGACATTAAGAAATTCTTCTTATTTGAGTGAGTGATCAGGCACTGGAATGGGCTACCCAGGGAGATGATGGAGTCATCATCCCTGTAGTTGTTCAAAAAACTTTAGCTGTTTAAATGTTTAGATGTTGTACTGAGGAACATGGTTTAGTGGGGAATATTGGTGATAGGTGGACAGTTGGACTGGATGATCTTTGATGGTCTTTCCTATCTTTGGTGATTCTATGATTCTATGAAATGACACCCCATCTAGTGCTTGATCTGTTACACTCTCTCTCCAAAATACCTTTCCTTGTGAAAGAATGAAAATACCAAAACCTGGACCTGGTCCTTAAATGGGGATGTCACCCTGATGTGCCACTGGCCCCCTTGTGCAGCCTGCCCACCACATCAGGCTGCGAGCTCTGCTTCCTGCAGCATTTCAGAACCCAGAACATCTCCCATTTTGTGCTGTTTTGTGCCTAAACCTGAGCACAAGGACACTGTCAATATACCAGGAGGAGGAAATTCTCTGGGGTTTATGTCCTCCGGTGGGACTTGGTCAATTTGCAGTGAATCATGTTGCATGTGACAGGATCTGATTTAACTTCACAGTGACATTTTCTTATTTCCCTTCCCTCATATATAGCAATGCATGAACTGAGAGAACAGGTTAAATGAAATCAGGACAAAGGTAACTGGTTTTTCTCTGTATCAATGTAAGTAGTAAATTAAGGGGGCTGAGAACAAGTCCTTAGAAGCCAGAAAATGCAAAAAAATGCCCATTTCCTTACAGAAAAAATCTGCCATGCTGTGCTCAGAGTAGAACAAATTTCACGTGTCCATAGTTCCTTGTGGCAGGCTGGGAAGACCATGCTACTCTGGCAATGTCTGCATGCCAGAGTTTGTTTCGAGAGGCTTACAGAGAAGACGCATCAGTTACAAGATGGATCACAAGAAGCCTGCTCTGAGATTGGCTTTCTTGAACATGGAAGTGAATATATGCTGTTTCCTATGTCCTTAGCATGTAGAAGTAAAGTGTGCACAAAGGCCAGGTACATGTAAAAACCCTATGTGCTTTTGGTCTGGATTAATAGGCACCTAATACCTGAAGCTGTGAGTGGATGCCTAGTGAGGTTTTCACATTGAAAAACTGGAGGCACGCACATATTTCAAAAAGAAAAGGCATGCAATGAGAAGCTGAAGATGCTTCATTAACTTAATCATTTATTTTTTTTACCAAAAAAAAATGATGAATAGATGAGGTAATTTCAGGCTATTTAAGTACTTCCTCTAGGGGGAGATTCAGAGCTCTCAAAGTCTTTTTCATTCAAGAAATAGGCATAACAAAAATCAAAATTCGGAAGCAGAATCATGTATACATTTATATAATTTTTCTTTGGTGCTTCTATATAATAATATATAAACACCAATATATATATAATATATTATATAATATATAAATATAATAATAAATAAATTTTTAACAGTGAGAAGGTTCATTCACCAAGTCAAATAACAAATTCTTCTTCCCATGACACCTACAAATGAGGTCTGGCTGCTTTCAGGATTATGCCTTTCAGTCAAACTCATATTATTCAGATCCCTGTATATATGTGTGTGTGTGTGTAAGGGAACAAAACTCTATGTGATACACTATGCAGGCTGTAAGAAGAGATGATGCAATTGTCCATTTTGGCCTACTGCAATAATTTTAAAAGGCTTGCATGACTTTTGGAGGAGTATCACTTTGTAATTAATCTGAGGTGAAAGTGCTACAGCATTACTTTGGCAAAAGAGCTCCAAACCAGGCTCAACTGTACTGAAGGCTCACAAAGGCAGATTGTGTTCTTAATATTAGATGGTAAAACTCTTTTGGACCAGAAAGACTTGTGAAAAAATGCTTCTTTGCATCTTTTACTGAAGTTCTAAGTGGAAGTGCAACACAATACGCTTAATGGACTCAAACAAGTGATGCTGTTACAGAGGACATTTTGGAGTAACACTGTGCACAGGTATTCTGGCTCTGGCCATTGAGCACTAATACAGTTTCGTGGACACAGACTTCCTATCAGTGTATCACCAAAGAAAACTTTCTTTAACATGGCACTATGAAAGCCAGTTATGCTTAGTTATGCTAAGCTTAGGCTTTAAGAAAACCAGGAATACTGGAGGACTTGCTAGAGAAGACAAGCATTTGCAACACTGTGGTTATGGGGCCATTCACTGACATCTGAGACAGAACTGAACCTCACCTCTCTCACAGTGTATAACTTTCTCCTTGACTGGTTCGGTATATTTTGGAAAAAACCCAAGAAAGATATGGTACCTTCTGTACCTCACATCTCACTGTGGTTGTTCTGCACTTCAGGTGTACTTCCACTATCTGCACAAGGCCGCCTCCCTATTCCTCTCCCCCTCCCACTCCTTATCCCTTTCTCCCTCTCCTTCTCTCTATCTCCGTCTCCTTCTCTCTCCCTTCCTCCACCACTCTCTCCGTCTCTGCCTCTCTCTCCTTCTCCCTCTCCCTCATTCTGTCTCACCCTTCCTCCCTCACTCTCCTTGTCCCTCCCTCTCATTCCCTCCATCTCTGTCCCTCTGTCCCTCTCTCCCCCTCACCCCTTTCTATCCCTCTCTCCCTGCTTTTTCCTCTCTCTGTCTCTCTTCCTGTTCATCTCCCCTTCTCCCATTCCCTCCCTATCTCCCTCTCCCTTCTTCTCTCTTTCTCTGTAAGTCATGCTTAGGCTCCTGTACAGGAACCATCCGGATAGGGAAGGCAAAACAGCAAGAAGGCCCTGGAGGCTCAGCTACTGGCAAAATGCCAGAAGGCAGTCAGGGGTCCTAAGCAGATCTTCTACAGGATCTTCCCCACTGTGACACTATCAGGTGTCACTGTTTAACAAACCAGTTCATTGGCAGGGTGCCTTCTGCCCCTGAGTGACAGGCAATTGCGGTCCCTCGGCCTTACTCTCCCTGTGTTGCTGCCTAACACCTGCAAGGCATGCTCCAGCAATATGGTAGCGCAAGGACTTTTATTCAACTGTTAGACCATGGTGAATTTGGCGAATGAGACAGCCTTGCCATGCCAATATAGGAGTTTCTGCTTTCACTTGACACTGACAGCAGCAGTGGCGTGAGCAGGTGCAGCCTGTTGCCTGTGGCTTCTCTTCCTCCTCTTGGTCTTCCTCCTTTTGGAGGGTGAGGCCATGCGCTGGCTTTGTGGGACAGCCCGGCCATGGTGCTTGGGCCCACTTCCCAGAAGGTGCTTAAGTACAGAGCTGCTCTTCACAGCCATCTGCAAGTGGCATGGAGAGATGCACTGTTGGTTGCTCTTCTTAGAAATCCTCCCAGCCATGTCCATGATCTTGTGCGTCACCCACTGTAGCACAGCAGCCAGGTAGACAGGAGCCCTGGCTCCAAAGCGTTCAGCAAACTGGCCTCTGCGTAGCTGCCTGTCTATGCGGCTCACAGGAAAGAGCAGCCCAGCCCGGGAGGAGCGGGAAGAGCGACTCTTTTTGGCCTTTGCTTCCTGGCTGGTGGAAGGCTCCCCAGAGTATGTTGCCTCAGGCTCCCTCTTCTGCTCGTCAGTGCAGACCCCCTCTGCTTCGGGTGTGCTGCTTCCTCCCATAGGTCTCTCCATGCTGCACAATCTGATCTTCCTGTGCCTCTGTCTGTCTTTCCTGCCTGCTCTTGAAGTATTTGCTGGCCCTTGCTGGTGTTTTTTGTCTGCTGTGCCCCTACCAGCCCAGCATAGAGGTGTTTGTGACAGGGTGGTCCCACGTGCTCCGGCAAGGATCTCCCCACCCTGGCCAAACTTCCCTGAGGAAGGGCTTCAGCTCAGGCCTTCTCCTCTGCAGGGTGAGACCCTTTGCTTACCAGCCCAGTGGGAACCAGGCACCCCTTCTGTGGTGGGACTTCCTCTGTGATCTCACCTCCCTGCTTGTGACATCATCCCCGTTGGCCCTGCCACTTGGAATGAGTTCAGGGACGGCCTCTGCATCCACCCTCTCCCATTTTCCCATGTCAGTAGCTTTGCCAGTGTATAACTGTACAAGGCAAGCCACAATGCTACTAGTTAAGGCACATCCTGAACTCTCCTCTTTCCATTTTTTTTTTCTTCTTTTTTTTCTAATTATCCACTGTGTATTCTCACACAAATCAAGGGCTTTACTGATACCTTTGGAAGTGTTCATGGCAGCCTGATGAAATACAGAGGCTGTTTCTGTCAAAGAAAGATGGTAGTTGCTTTCCATCCTTTCGGGCTACCTCTAGAAAAGACCATGAATCAAGGCCTCTGATATACATGATGTTCTCTTGAGCAACAGACACTTCTTAACTTAATAAATGTTTGGACGGCAGTATCCTAAACTTACATTGGATTTTATTTCCTAGATTTCCTCAGCATACTGATAAATAAAAACCTACCTCTAAAAGTAACAGTCAATATTCCTAAGGTTATATGATCCAAACAGCTCAGGTAAAAGACTAAATTTGGTAGTTTTCTTATGCAATAATAGAACTTGAAAAGCTGTTCTTGATTTGCCAAAAAGGTCTTCTGCCTATTAAGGATATCTGTAGTTTATAGCTGTTGGGAAGATAGAAGTCTGAAACTTAGCTTTTGCCTCAGCTCGCATAGAACTGAGTCCACTTGTTTGTCAAAAAGTAGGTTCAGAGTAAGTAAAAAGCGCTACAGGGAGACAGCAGCAGTGCTGCTTCTCTGAAAAGAATGCTGGGACCTGAACACTTGCTCCGGGAAAACAAAATCCCATCCAATCTGGGGCATAAGAGTTAAGACTTCCTCTTCTACTAATCATTCTGGAAAACAAACAAACACATAAGAACCATAACTCTGTTGATGCCCTCAGTGATGGTTTTGGGGAAAAACTTTGCCACATGCGAACATCTGATACCTCTGGATGACCTAGCAAGCAGAAGGTGGCAGCAGGTATCACTGAGAGCACCTATGGACAGCCCATTTCCTTTATGAGATTCCCAGTGGTTGATGTCTATACTACAGGTAGTTATAAGTAGGATACATGGAAGAAGAAAATGCTTATTGTAAAAATTCAATTCCTTCTCTCTCACAGAAATACATCAGGTCTGGAAACGCTAACACTTTGGCCTCAAAGCTAGTGACTTCTGCACTCAAACTTATAGCCAATTTCTACTTGTCAATTACATCTTTGCTTTTTGCTTTGTCTTTCTTTCTATCTATCTATCTGTTTTTTGTTTGTTTGTTTGTTTTTTAAAGCATTTTCCCCACACTGAAATCACAGAGAGATCTCTTACAGTGTTAAGGTTCACTGCTCTTAATGTTTTTCCCAGGAGCAGCTAGATATGATGACACTTTCGAGATGTCAGAATTTCAGCCCCTCTTCATCGAGGAGACAGCATTGTGAAGCTACAGAAATTGTGTTTCAAGATTTTCTTGCCTTGTTGTCTTGCTCTTTCTATGGTCAGCTGCATAAAATGTCTCCTAAAGTGTGGCTAGGTGAATTATGTTCTAGATCCATTTTAAGCATAAACAATCGCATAAAGCTGAAAATAGATTGACCAAGGGTTGAAAGGCTGGAGAGCAGCCCTATGGAGCGGGATCTGGGGATTCTGGTTGACAGGAAGTTGAATCTGTGTGGAGGGGTGGCTTGAAGATTGAGGCCACCTCGGGAATGTTATGGACTTTGTGAGGATTCACAATAAACAAGTGGTTGCTGAGTTGCGTCCAATGAGGAGGTTGGTGGGAAAAAATAGGCGGTTCCAGAGAATTCCACGCTGTCACGGTGACAGCTTTCGCCCAGCGGACTCATATAACCAATCGTACATGGCCAAGGGTACTTGTTGGTGTATATATTGCTGTGTTAACTGATTAAAGTTGGACTTAGCTGCTAACTCCTATCAAGTCGCCACTGAGTTCCACAATCCCGCTCCCGCAAATCTGAGTCAGCAGTGTGCCCTGGCAACCAAAAAGGCCAACTCTGCCCCGGGATGAATTAAACCCAGCAGCACAGTTAGCTGGATGAGGGAAGGGATTGTCTGCGCTGGTGCAGCTTCACCTCAAGCCACTGTGCTCAAATTTGGGTGCCACAGTATCAGAAGGACATATTACTGTTAGAGGGTGTCCAGAGGAAGACAGTGAAGATGAGCAGGATGAGATGTACAGAGACCAAGATGTATGAAGAGTGGCTGAGGCCATTGGTTTGTTCAGCCTAGAGGAGACTGAAAGGAAGCATCATGGTGGCCTACAGCTTCCTTGCAAGGGGAATGGAGGAGCATGCAGGCAGGCTTTTCTCTCTAGCAGTGGTGACAAGATCTGAGGGAGCAGTGTGGAGTTGCATCAGGGAAGGCTCAGATTGGATATCAGGAAAAGGTTCTTCACCAGAGGATTGCTGAGCACTGGAGCAGGCTCCCCAGGGCACTGGTCAAGAGTCCAAACTACCAGAGTTCAAGAAGAGTTGGGACAACATTCTCAGAGATGGGGTTTGGATTTTGGGTGTTCCTTTGTGGAGCCAGGAGTTGGACTTGATGAACCTTGTGGGTCTTTTCCAACTCAGCATATTTTATGATTTTGTGATTCTAAACTGCAGAGTACTGGAATGGAAATACTAAGTCAGGAATAAATAGCATCTGAATGGAAATACATATGAAGAGGCAGCTGAATAAAGAGTGTGGCAAGGGATAAAGGCATGTCATCCTTAATTATTGCAGAAATTTGTCATTAAACTAACTAGAAAACAAGAAGACTAATAATTTAAACCCATAAAAACACAATTACAAAGGGCTGAGAAACAGGCTTGCAGCCACAAAATACCCAAGCAGGAAAATAAAGAACACTGAGAGTCAGCAAGTTTTCCTCAGACTTTCAAGGGAAAAATCAGGCAAAAGTCCTTAGGAAATCTCTACTCATCAAAGATGTAAAAGGCACAACCCAAATTCAGTTAATAATGATTACTAATTACTGCCAATAAAAAAGGTGCTCCAAAGACATGATGACGACTCAGCATCCCTCTTGTGCAGCAATACTGTTCCTTTCCAGATTACTGGGACACATGTACCTTGGCACTTGTAGGTGTGAGAGCAAAATGAGTTTTGCTTAAGACAGAAGTCTTCTTCGACTTCCAGAAGGATTCACATTCAGCTTTCCTATAACAAATATAGTAGAAATCATACTATTTTTTAGATATCTGGGGAGCAAAGCATAACATTTTAGAGTACAGCTTCTACACAGTAAGTTTATCTTATTATCTTTGATTTTTCAATTTCATTCTACACCTCTGCAGTTGCTTTCATTTTAAAAAGCTACTCCTCAATGTGTATTTATAAATTAAGATTCTTTTCTGAAAGAAAACTCAGAGTAATCCAGTGTGTCCATCTTCACTACCTTCACTTTACCTATTTTTCCCATCAGTTCCCCCTGCTGAGGCACCCAAGATTCCATACACCAGAAAAACTCAGAAAGATGATGTCAAGATGAGCCAAATAAATAACAGGAAACATCTCCTAAAAGCACATGTTAATACAAGGTTAAAAAGCATCAGCCTTCAATCTCTACTACTTTTGATATAGTTTTAGATTCCAGCTAATTCCAGGTGTTGTAAAGCATGCAGATGTATGAACATTCCTACTTGAATCCTGAAAAAATGTACCCTTTTTTTCAGTTGAAAGTGAAAGAGCAGCATGAAAATCCCAAATAAGCCACTGAGATTCAGGCACAATGTAAGTTGGTCACATATCCAAATTCTTATTGTACTACAAGATGTCCACTTGCTTTGTCTCCAGCAGTCAAGTGTCCCAATACCTCTACTTCCTCCAGCTCAGCTGAGACTGCAAATCCAGCCTACGTCATTAGCAGCTCTCAGTGTTTGACTGCCAAGAGAGACCTGGAGGAGTCCTTGGCAGAACAAGACTGGCTCTGCCCCAACTTGTCTTGCAACAAGAGATGGGAGTGGTATACATTGCATGTCCACTGCCAAGATTTTTTCACAAGTGCATTTAGAAAGCTGGAGACCAAGGGCAGCAGTTTCTGGAATGCTGAAATGTCTGAGAGGCCCACCTCCCTTTTCAAAGGAACCTATGCCACTTACAAATTTTCTCTCTAAGAGTTTGCTAGAATCTCAAAAGTGAACTAGTTGCTAGATAAATGCCACACATGTCTACTTATGCCTTTGGATGAATGATCTCTTATTCAAATAGGAAGAACATTTAGAGCATGGGAAAGTTGGAAAATAGTACTTGCTTTTTGTCTTAGAGCCAAGGAGGAAGAGAGGTCAATAAAGGTAGAGCAAAATCAATACTTATGAATATTTCCATCCAGTTAGAATCAACATCAACAATCGCAGTTGGACTGATCTCTGAAAATACCTGGCACACACTATTCCAGTGAGTCCTGTTATTGTTCTTGTGGTGGCTTGGCCCTGGCATAAAAATAGGCAGACTTTATCCATTAGCATAACCTTCTCATTCTGAAAGATGAACAAGGAAAAAGGATGTTTGTTGGCTGATGTTTCAAGCTGTAACAGGCAGTCCCTCACCTCTTCAACTTCACTGTGTCCTTCCTCCTCCTGTTAGGTTTTGTCATTTTTTTCAGAAACTGATGTCAATATATGCTGTTTGTCAAGATAACAACTGAAATTTATTACACTGAAATTTCATACAAAACACTTTTTTAATTAACCACATGCAGTGCAGACTAGCTCCAGGGATACAGAAGGGTTTGACACCTCTGTTACTGCTCTCCCAGTTTGATGCAGAAGTGTATAATTTAACTTGGAACAGGCTTTTTTTAGAGCAATTTTTGAATGTTCAAAAAGCTAAGATGTTCTGGATGTTGTTCATGAGCATGATAGATGAACTAGTCTTACAGAGTTTGCTTCTAATGCTCTAATTCCTGTCTGAATGAGTCTTACTCAGGATTGCTTTCTTAAAAGCAGC